AATTTTTATAAAATTTTTCTTTAAATTTTTGACAGTTATTATCGGTGTTTTTGTGGGGTTAAATTTTTGGGCCAAACCTAAAAGGTTTTTGCCCTGCCCTGTCTGTCTGCCCTTCCAAAATTTTAAAACCTTTTAAACCACTCTAGTTTTCCACATCCCTAAGAAAATAAGTCTAGTTTTAATCCCCCCTAAATTACAATACCCGTTATTTTTTCCCCATTTTTTACCCTCAAACGTTTTTCCCCCCCTTTTTCCCAAATCTTGAAAAAATTTTTCAACAGAAATCTATGACCATAAAATCCTCAAAAAGTTAGATTATAGGCCTAAATCTAAACAACAACAAAAACTTACAAGAAACGAATTCACCTTGTTAGTGTTTTTTTTGTTTTTCTCATTCTTAAATTTTTATACAGAATATGTATAACAATAAAGTCTCGATCAAGTTTTCATTTATGAGCTAAAACGATGAAACATTTATAATCAAGAGTTATTTTCCTTTGAATAATAAAAAAAAAAGACATATTTTAAAAGTCAAATTATTTGAATTGTGATAAAACTGCATTTCTTTGTTTATCAATGATCAATGTCCATTCATTACATTTATGGACAGGACGGACATCTTGAATAGTTCAACTATGATATTGACCTTGAAATGACTACCCTTTTGACCTCAATGTATTATTGAATTTTGCTTAAAATTACCATATCTTTGTCATTTACAGAAAATTTGGTTTTTGTTTGACCTTTCTGAGTAAAATTTGGAGTACTAAATTTTAAACTTCCCCTAAATTTTCTGACCCGTAAAATTAAATTACTTTTTTTTTTTTTGTAATATTCAATTGTTATTACCCTTGTTTTGGGGAAAGCCTGGGAAAAAGGGCCCAAACCCAGCCCTTTTTTGGCTTTTTTTTAAAAAATTTTAAATTGGTTTCAATTAAAAAAATTTGCTTTAATGGAAATTCCCAAAAAAAACGTTTTAACATTACCAGGGGGTTCAATCTAGAGCGCCCCCATTGCGCCATTGACCCCCTAAAAAAAGGCCCGGGCCGGCGCAAAAAAAAAATAAACTGGGGGCCCCGAGGCGCAACTCATAAAAAAAATATCCAAAATTTGAATTAGAATGTTTTTCTTAAAACCCTGTTTAAGTACAAAAAAGAATTTTCTTGTGAAAAATATTAATAAAAAACTAAAATTCAAAACTAAAAATTTTTGAAATTGAAAAACAAGGATGTTGGTAAGATGTTTCCCGCACTTGGAAAACTCCATTTAAAATTTTTAAATCGCAAACCCCTTCCCCTCGGTCCGGCCCGAAAAATACAAATTAGACTTGTTTTTCCGTCCGTAACTATTAATTTATTTTTTAAAGTAACAGTTTTTATAACCCAAAAAAAAATTGTCACAGATAACCCAAAAATACTTTGGTTTGTATTTTATATTTTTTTTTTAAAGGGGGTTTCAAAAACAAATAAATATTTAATTTTTATTTTCCCCCAAAGGGAAAAAAATTTTTTTAAAATATTTGGGGGAAAAGGGGGCGATTTAAAATTTAGAGAGTGGGGCAAAAAATTAAATTTAAAAAACAGGGTTTTCATCCAAATTTTAAAAAAGTTTTAAAAGAGGGAAAGCAATCCAATCAGATTGGCCCCCTTAAGGGAGTTTTTATAAATTGAACTTTGATTGGTCTTTGGCTGTCGGAAGCGCTAAAAACATTTGCATAAAATTATGCCTGTATCAACGCTAATGTCATTTTTTTTTTTTAGTTGAGTTGTTTTGGATTTTTGCAACCGTTTTTGGTCTAAATATGGTATGTCGTGAATCAAGTAACTTAAATATGATACAATACTTACCTTAATTTGAATTTGATGTTCATTTTAAGTGTGGGCCCCCTTTTTTCTCAAATGACCCCCTTTTGAAAAGTTTATGGGCCCGAAGGGCCCCCTGGGAATTAGTTCTAGATTGAACACTGCATTACGATATTTTAAAATATGCTTTATTTTTTATCAATAGAACACATTGAACTTCTTTTTCATCATTTCCTATGTGGATGAAAAGTTTGTTATAATATACTCTATTATACATCATCTATGTAACTTATAGACGAAATGTTTTGTTCTTCAGGCGATAAAATAATACGGTTTTATTAAAAAGACCGACTTTCCGACTAATCTATAAATTAAATCATTTTTCAAAGTTATATTTTATGACAATTTCAAACTTGCATTTACTAGATTTGTAGTTCAAAATATTTGAGTCGCGTCAAGCAAAAATGCGCCCTATTATTACATTTACTTCAATACCATCGTTTTTATATCTCTGCTGCTGCTACTGCTGCTGCTGCTGCTGCTGTTTTGTTCCATTCCATAAAAAATCTATTCGAAAAACATCCTCGGCTTAAGCATATTTCTTTTTTTTTAAATAAAAAAAGTCAGAATTATATAGGATCACATAAATATTGCACTTTTATGTTTATTTCGTCATATCTTTACCTGAAACAATATGAAAGTGACAGAACCAATAAAAGTAACGTTTATAATGAATATATTCTAATACAGAAAATATGGACGATATGCGATGCAAAGACACACTCTCGCCGCAAAACGTTCTAAATACGATATGCACCGCAAAACGTCCACATGTGTACGATATACGACACAAAACGTCCACACGCGTATGTTTTACGGTACGGACGTTTTACGGTGTTACATGGCCCCTAGTGGCTTCCGTAGTTATTATGTCACCAAATATCAACTTGTGTGTTTTCTATTACGAAGAGACACATTTTGAGCAATTTCTCTACGGTTCAATTAAAGGTTGTCCATTTCATCGTGTTATGTACTATTGTCTCCAATATTCTTTTCTTTGGATCAAGACAAATAATAGTTCACAAGGCTCGGTTAAAAATAAAATACTCATGTGAACCATCGTAAAGGTGCTGGCACCATCGGCAATGTGAAAGAGCCGTCGGCGAATACCATTCTGTAATACTAAGTGATGATTTTGTGGAAATATACCGATGATATTTGTGTTTAGTGTCCAGCTTTATTTGTCATCCAATGAAAACGCTGTACTTCTTAAAAATTGTGTGCGTTCATTTTCATAGAAGAAAAAAGTCGATACTATATTGAAATCCGTTCATAGTCGCCTTCTATTTTTCATAGTGTTTCATAAAACCGCGTAGTGACGTCATCAAGGGTCAAATAAAGCTTGACACTAAATATGTTAGTGTTCATCCGTAGCTGTTCTACAGAAATTAGAAACATTCTCCTGTCGCTATCGCTCCCGTCGAAGTTTCTAATTTCTGTAGAACAGCACGGATGAACACTAACATATACATAGGCTTAATTGCATGAATTGATTCATCTTTTTAAAAAAATGTTCAATCAACTTCCTTCAAGTTTCACGTATATGAAACAGCTTTTTCATTATCAATGTTATTACGTATATGTTAGTGTTCATCCGTGCTGTTCTACAAAAATTAGAAACTTCGACGGGAGCGATAGCGACAGGAGAATGTTTCTAATTTCTGTAGAACAGCTAAAGATGAACACTAACATATTTAGTGTCAAGATTTATTTGGCCATTGATTACGTCACCACGCGGTACTATGAAGCACTATGAAAAATAGAAGGCGACTATGAACGGATTTCAATATAGTATCGACTTTTTTTCTTCTATGAAAATTAACACACATAATTTTTAAGAAATACAGCGTTTTCATTGGATGACAAATAAAGCTGGACACTAAAGATGGTAAGAGATGGAAAGAGTAGTTTTAAGCACGACGAAAAAAACAAATTCGTATTAACAATGTGGAAGATTTTGTCAAAATAATGAGTATGAATAAAAAAAAACACGGGGACATTTTTCTCTGTTCTGCTGAACGGCACTTTTCTTTTGTCCAGCTAACAATAAAACATCTAAAACATCATTGAATACCGATAAAAAATATTTAAAATATCGCACAGGAATAGATAATATGCCCAAAGCGCATTCCCTAGTGCAAGACAGATGACTGGAAAGGGCGGTTAATTATTAATTTTAAAGTCCTCTATTTCAGGAGAGAAAAAAGACAAATTTTAATTTGATTTAAAAAATATCTATAATCAGTGATTTATATTAAAGTTCGTGCGTTGAAAATATAAATTGATGATCTTGCTGTCATCGTAATTCTTTACGTTAAAAAATAACAGATTGTCATATAATAACTTTGTTCTCTCTTTTTACTTCAGTTGGACACTTCCGGTTGTATCGTCTGCTGATACTCTGGCATACCTATAAGAACAATGAAATAACTTATAAACTCAATTTAACAAACGCAAGATGAAAAAAAAATCCTGTATTTATAGGAAAAACTTAAATTTTCTGTTTATTATATACAGTTTTCTATTTTTGGACATAAAAATTTGAAAGGTTTCCACATAAATTGTGAGTATTAGTAGTCCGGCAAGGTACCAGTGAAAACACGAAAAATATATTTCAAAAAAAAAAAATTACAGTTAAAATATAAAAAAAAAAAAAAGCATTTTACATCATTAAAATTTATCAATATTCATTTTTATCACACTATAGAATAAAATGGCTTGTTATTGTCGTTCAAGTAAACATGTATCTTAAAGTCCCATTTAGCGACAAAAATAATCGTATTTTTTTATTTCTCAAAATCTGTGAAGTTTCGATTTTGCTGCATATTACAAGGTCTTCAACGTTACTCATTGGCCATTTAACTGAATCATCTTTTATTTCTATTGAGTTTTAGCGTTTATTTTATTAAGTGATTTAGTATTTTGTTTAAAGAATGTATTTATTTCTGAGTTTAATGTGCCTTTAACTTACCCGGAATGAATCTCACTGTTACAATAGATGGACATTATCCCAAACGAACCTATATCATCCCACTCGTCAATCATCTTCTCGTTTCCCGTTTGTTGACTGTCGTCTGCAAACACATTTTGATCGTCTGCTGTTGTGATTTCAGTCATGGGCTCATTTTGAAGGCTTAGATTGAATATCTGCGGCACTTCAGATACTTGATGTTCAAACACGTCATGCGGTTGTTTATTTGTTGACTTCTCAAATATGTTTCCCGTTTGTTGCCTGTCGTCTGCAAATACATTTTCATCGTCTGCTGATGTTGTGATGTTAGTCACGCGCTTGTCTTCAAGGCTTAGATTGAAAATCTGCGGCACTTTAGATATTTTGTGTTCAAATATGCCATGTGATTGTTTATTTGTTGGTTTCTCACATATGTTGAAGTCATGTCTCTGTTTAGGTTTTAAGTTTCCGACAGTGATAAATTTGCTTGCTGGTTTCGCTAATATGTCTAAAACGTTACGTTTGGCTTTTGGACACATGACAGTTATTAGCGAAATGATATTATTTATATCTTTAAATGTCAACAGATGGATAATGGGTTGTACTGGCCGAAGGTATCCAATTAAATTTTCGTCTGCTGGAAAACCATAAACTTTCTTTGGTATCGGTTTGGCATATATCAAGAACTGATATGCGTAATAGTTGACTATTTTCTTCAGATATTTCAATTGAGCAGTCATGTTTATTCCACAACTTGTCGGGTACCTTTTTGTAAACGGGACTGTTTCTGTAAATGGTGCTATGGAAGCATTAGTGCGAACGATTCCTGGTGAATTCTGGGTAATTGTAGACATATTTTGCGGGTATATTTCTTTAAAGAACATTGGCATGTCTCTTGGACAAGGACTGAATTTTCCACATTGCAATAGATTGAGATTTTCGTATGTCCACATAACGTTAGCAATCGGATTAAACTGACATACGTCATTTCCTTGTAATACAATAGTGTCGTCTGCTCCACGCGGTAACATATTGTCGAATATACCCTCTTGCAAAATATTGTCGTCTGCTTCTTGTTGTAGCAGCAAATTGTCGGGACAAATTTTGTCGTCAGGGGATGAAGAACTGTAGTCGAGAATTGCTTGAAATTCACTCGCTTTGTCAAACAGTGTGTCATTACCGATATGATCGATATGTGGCTCAATAACTTCTTTACTATTATAATTATCTTTGCCGCTTTCAACACAATCCACATTTTTCTCAGCTACCTCATCATCGTGACCCTTTGTTGTCAAGGTATTAAGACCACTATCATTCACAGGGGTGTCAAATGATTCGATTTTTCTATTTTTACCAATACTTGCGGGTCTGACACCAAAACTATAAAGTTCCTCACCTTGTGAATCATCGTTCACTTCCGAGAACTTGATATCAATTTTCGGTTTTTCAATATGTCGTAAGAAAGCGTCAACACTATTACAGAAATTATAGTATGAACGATTTGGTTTTACTATACTCTTTCTAGCTTCCTTTTTTTCACTAAAACGGACTTTTAGTTTACTTAAAAGACTTTCAACCTTACTTTTCATTTCTTCCTCGTCAACTTTTTCAAATACTTTCCAATCAATTTCCTTTTCCTCCTCTGATTTTCTCAACATCCTCCGCCTTTCAAGAACGCTGACAAATCTTTCACTGGTATCGTTATTGATAAAAACACCTTCATCTGTATCTTTAGATAAGTCAACAACTACATCTGATATATCAGAACCATCTCCCGCGGCACCATCGGTGTGTGGTAAGTGACCTGCGTCTTCTAACATTTCGCTGTTGAAACCTTGATTACATGTAGTTGACAATTCTAAAATAAGTGAGAGAAAGGGAATACTTACAAACAAAAAACAAAACAAAAACCATAAACAAACAATTACTTCAATAGGTTTACAGTGATCCGTATTGTTGATCATTGATAAAACAAGTTTTATTTAGGTGTTATTGTTGATCTTTCTATCATCAAATATAAATTGCTAAATTATTTTAGTATATAGGGATGTCCATTCTGACCAACGTGAAATATGTTAATGTTGTGCTTAACTTCACAATATATAAAAAAATGATTAATTAATAAATATCGTCGATCAAATCACTCAGATAATGAATAAATAAATAATGAATGAATAAATAAATAAATAAATAAATAAATAAATAAATAAATAAATAAATAAATAAATAAATAAATAAATTATTAACAATTTGAGAAAATATTTCAAAATGACTCTATACTCCTACGATAAACAGTGATTTAAAGCAATATTTATTTCTGTAAAAATGTAAAGCAAACGTCTTACATACCTTTCAAATACTCTGTAGATACGTTTTCCATGTTTATTTTATAAAGTTGTTTCTATTCCGTTGCTTCGTGACATTCTTTAAAATATATTTGCTATCCTGCGTTAAAATGCGTTTGTATAGTCTACTGAAAACCATAGAGCTAACGTCTTTTTACGCTACTTTTTATGACGTCATGACGCTAGTTTTGACAATAACGTTCAGGGGCGACTACTGTGACAATTACAATGGTTTGAAGTTCTTTCCCTTTACAATGAAGGAACGTCGTATGAATTATTAAAGGCACATAATGCCTCAGAAATTTTTCTTTTGTTTGTTTGTTTCTTTCTTTCTTTCTTTCTTTGTTTCTTTCTTTATTTCTTTTGATATTTGTAAGCTCATCTGGAGGTAAGCCGCTTAAAATTGAACTTAAAACGTAACACAGAACTTTTTTATAAAACGGTTTATTTCATAATATCATTTACATAATAAATGCGGCAAAATGTAGAAAAACCTACATAAAAATGTTCAAATAATTGTATGATATTTGAGACATAAAATATAAAGAGGAATGTCTGTTTATAAATTAAGAGGTATTACTTTAAAAGCTTATTAGCCATTAAATGTTTTTAAGATTGTGAACTATTGAATAACGGTGATAAAGTTGTATCTAAAGTAAAGTTCAAAGTTGATGCCGCTTCTGTTGTATTCATAAACGGTGAGATAGTAACGAGTGACGGTGAAGTCTGGAATAACACCCCTGTAATGAAAATAATACATATATTGTATAATTGTAATAACGAATGGCTACCATTAGTTAAAAATAAATTGTTCTTATTAAACAAAAGTTTTATAAGGAGAAGCGGTTGAAGTTTTAGCCTAATCGGTGATTTAGCACCAAATAATGCAAAGATCCTTGAACATACGTGATACTTTGAAACAAAAGTGTATTTACAACAAATGGTCCTATATATGCGAATGCGCTGGTTTTTGTTTTCGGACCAAATATAGCGTTAATGTGACTGGTAAATTGGCGGTATTTTACCATCCGCAAGTCCCCACAAGAAGGTCCTGATGCTAGGACCAGGTCAACAAATAGTTTGTGAAAGATGACTACAATAATTTTGTAAAGAAATTTTGATTTGATTCAAAGAAACACCGCTTAGGTCCGACAGCCTTAAACATTTTTCCGGGTATCTTTTTATAAAACGTTCTGCGTGCTTTTAAACATTTTATACAATTATATAGAATGTTACCTGCTACGCATGCTGTCATGAAGCACGCAATGTTTCCATTTATCATAGACCGTAAAGATAGCTGGGCGAATTGCGAGCGTCTTTCTGGTGCTGATGACGTCAGACTGCCCAGATTTATACCCAGAGCTGCAATACTCCCGAATCCACATAGAATGTATGTTGCCAATACGGCAGACCGCTCCTGGAAACGATAATAACTATGTAGGGATTGTAATAAAATGAATTGATCATATATATATAACAGTATTTCATTTAATCAAGCGTTTTCCGCTTGAGTATTCTTAACTTTTACCACGCTAAATACCTTAATTTGATTATTTCTTTCAATGTGGACAAAAACATTTACTTGTATCATTATTACAGAAAATATCAAAATATTTACGGATTTAGTAGCGGCTAGTGCGTATTGGTAGAATCTATTTCCGCCTGCAGGATAAGTTTTAAATAATTCAAAATTAAATTCATGGACACGTTTCATTTTACTTAATTAACACAATTTCTAAAGTACTACACACAGTTATACATAATATGCGTACACATATTTATTATACACAATATGCGTAACAAGATACTTTAACACATAGTATAGATAAAACAAGTTCAAGACGTGAGTAGAATTAATACTTACATCTAGGGAACCTTCTTTAATCATGGTCCCTAAATCGGCGTAAGCGAGGAATTCATTAATGACAATCTTCTTCCCAATCAATGCGCCGACAGTTTTTGTATCTGACCAGGGGACGCCAATAACAGCAGCTAGTGGCATGAATATGTATGAGCATATCAACTGAAAGTAAAGAAAGCAACTGCCTCATATATTGCATATATTTATTTGTCAAAACCTTTTAATTTTTTGGTAATTTGTTACAGTTTCCAAAAAAATCAAATTTGTTTACATTTTTCTACATAAATGTCACGTTACTGCACGTTCAGTCTACTTTCTTCAGTTGTTATACTTCTAACATGCTCTAAATTCATTTTTTATTATATAAACGCATGTATAAGATTACTAAAATAATTTTTTAAAAATGGATTTCTGAAACATAATGTGCCTTTGATATGAACATGTCTGTGCTAATTTCTATATTAATGATGCCCTGATATAACAAAATCACAGTGAGATATGCATATTTAAAAATAGGCATTTTATTTTTATTTGTCAAAAGTTTTATAAATTTGTTGTCCTTTAGTCTCGTTGGACATTTCCCTGTGCCATCTTTTGTTTCTTTGCAATGATTAAAATTTTATTGATTTTAATTTTTTGTACGGAAGTCAAAATACTACTGTGTTAACATTGAAGTACTTTTATGACAAATTATTTTACATTTTGCGTTACTTTCTTCACGTGATAAGTATCTAACAGTTTGTAAACATAATAAAACACACATTTGTTTTTTCTAAAGAAGGTAAAGTTAGTTCGTTTCTGAGACATGATGTGCCTTTAAACAAACAAAATATCCGTTATTTACCTGAAAGCTTAGATCAGGATAATTTACTCGTTCACCAAAATATGAAAGGGTTTGGTCAAGGAAACTCAGCACGGCAATGAAGGCTATCAGGTTGACGACCACGTAAGCTACTAGCTTTATAGCTGTAGTAGCGCCCACTGACAATGCCTCTATCATGTTCGACTCCTGTCTGAAAATTTCGGTGAAATTTGATAAATTGGAATTAAATAACATGCCCAAAGAGACTGTGTTTGTGGTAAACAAATGAATGAAAGAAATATTGAATACGAAATATACAACTTCTTTGTCATTTTTTGGTTGTTTTATCACACGATATTCACAAAATGAATGTAAAGATGGATATTTAACCTTACATTGTTTTTTGTTCAAATATATGCTATATTTATTATTTATTTATTTATTAATTAATTAATTTTTGATTAGGTGAAACGCCACATCAACACATATGGCAATTTTTCAGCTTTACTGGTGGAGGAAGACCTATGTGCCCCTCTGTGCCCCTCTGTACATTATTTCAGGCCCAAGCGGGCACCTGAGTAGAACGACCGACGTTCCGAAAGCTAGCTCGAATCTACAGAGGTGAGAGACAAGTGGTTTGAAGTCAACGACCCTAACCACTCGGTCACAGACGCCACTTATTTATTTATTTATTTATTAA